ATTAGGAAAAGCTAAGGTCCATATTAGGAGCAGGTTATTTTGAACTAACTCCTTTAATAGGTCCCTAGTGGAATCGGAAACACGATCAGTTCTGGACATGTTGTAGTATGCGTCACGTAAACGCCACGCAAAAGCGTGTGGTGATTCGTCCTTTTTTGGGGTCAAAAGCGAAAACGTGGTTAGAGGACTATGGAGGACATTTAATCTCTGCATTGTCGTGAAAATGGCTTCCAATAGAAGTATCCATGTAGGGCGCTTGCCTGTAGCCCAGGCTCGCACTCCATGAAAATCGCCGCTCATCTCTATTGTGACTCTTTGAGGCCATAGATGATATGGGATAAGTGCCATTTGTAAAGCATTTTGGATGCTTGACAATTTGCGAAATACTTCTGAATCTGCAATAACAAGTTGCCATTCAGGTCTTAGGATAACCTTGTTTTTGACACTTGTAAAAGCCTCGTCCTGCACATCGACCGGAAATATCGCCTCTGGCCAAGCTTTCTTAACAAATATCTCCTTAGGAGTGAGATAAATGTTGCTTTCAACATCGTCTGACAAATCAATCCCCCCAAATTCTCTTCTTTTCACGCCCGATTTTTTGATGAGTTTGGGGGTTGAAACGGGAGAATTTTCTTCATTCTTCCCCTCTTCTTTCTCTATTCTCTTGCCCTTAGTATAAGACTCCATCTTATTTTGAACTTGAGAGCTCAACGTGCTTTGTATCTGAAGGAGAATTCTTTCCATGTTAGAGTTTGCATCCTCCATTCTATCCAACCGCGTCTCTATTTTATTGATTCGGCTATCCGTGTTCATGTGACCGAGATCAATTGCTTTTTCTAAACTCTTAAAAAGAGATTCAGTTTTGGCAAAACTTTCTTTCAATTTCTTGTTGAAAGAGAAAATGTTAGGATGGTTAGTCGACAAAGATGACTGTGGTGGGTTGGAATCAGACATTTTTCTAAAATCTAGTGAGAGTTTTTATCTTCAAAAATAATTATTTTTGAGGTTTTAAGTTCCTAGGATGCTAGATTGATAAAATGTAAATATACGGAAATTGTAGGTCACAATGTCTCTGGATTTCTACTATATCTTCTATATAGTGAAATCTTAAGACGGTGTGTGACTCCCCTCTAAAATTACAGGATGTGTCTAGTATATACAGGTTTCTAGCTTAGTGCATTATGCATAAAAACTGGGGTACACGTGACAAATTATAATAAAATGTTTATGATCCTGGATCCTCACTGAGGTGCACATCACTCTGATGGCTACTGAGAGGCAACAGCATATAATGTGACGACGGTGTATGGCTCTGCAATCCCGGGAGTTCCACACTAGCAACTATTGTCAATAGTATGTTATGACAGGAGATATTGGCAGGGGCTATGGAAGTGGTTACTGTGACAGAAGTAGGAAGCACCTATTGAAAGGCTATGCTGAGCTGGAATGACGTACTGTTAGGATGAAGGTATGGAAGGAGGTAGCTATGGCTTTAAGAGAAGTACAGTTCGTGAGTTATACTCTTAGGACTTGGATCAATGGACGAACTTGAGGATATTCCCTAGTATTCTCAAGTGTGTAAATAATATGGAGATTGTTTGAATTTCCTATTGTATGAATTGCTTAATTTATCTACGTGACAGGACCTTCTTCTATATACATGAATAAGGGGGTTCTGCACACTAGTGGATGTTCCAACATCTGTCCTTGTCTAACCGAGAAAGGAAGGATGTGAGAGATCCTAGCGCCAATAGATACCATTAGGAATCTATTGGGAAATACTATGTCATACCAATGAGTGATGATTTAGGTCAATCATATCCCATGGCGCATGTGCACATTATTCTAATGTGAACAGTTTATTGTAATGCAGTCATGTTACTCCCTTAATTACAACAGCACCTGTGGTGAGTGCGTGATCAGGACTGGGGTACTGAATGTATATATAAGGAAGCAATACTTCCGCCGATAGATTGCGAATTAACCATCTTACTACTGTCCATTCCAACGCATCTTCTCACTACAGCCACATCAATTATATCCGCGCATCCATAATCATCAGCATCCATTTCAGGTATTCCTCTGTCCCCTCATGACCTCGTTATTATAACAACAGTACCTTACGGCTCTAGGCTGGACACGTAGACTAGTAATAATATTCCAATAAAATAAGCATACAGACCTAGTCGTTAATTAGTATCTAATCGTGAACATTAGATTTACAGGTTTTTGAACCAGCGTGATACTTATGAAAAAGTGCTGATGTCATGCCAGTGAGTCTATTACTGACGTAACTTTCCAGATGAGAAGAGAGTTGAAATCTCACAAATACCCAGGATTGATTTATGTCTGACAAATCAATTATTTACTTCTCAATCTACCAAATTGGGATTCATTCTTTTGACAGGCTGCAAAATCATTTCTTCTTCATTCATGTCATGAGTTATTGGAAGTAAAATGTCATCTATTATTACAATGATGATCTGGTTTGAATGATATCTGTATCAGGCATATTACCTACACGCAAGAGGCGTGATACGGGTACGTGGTCTCGGTAGACTCGCTACTACCTACGTGCTTCACACATATATAAAAAGCAGTGAGTATTTTAATGAGCGTAAGTTTACATTTCGACTGATAGCTGGATACCAAGGTAACCGTTCAGGTATTTATACTTTGCTTTTCAAGCCGCCTTTAGCTCTAATTTCCAGTAATTATCACGGCATATTAACCTAGATGCATCTAGTAACTTCTCGTCTCATTCCTGGAAGATTAGCATTACTTTCCTGAAGGTTTGAGGGAGGCTCTAGGGGGTTCAATCTTCATTGCTAGTAGTTTCCAACTCCTTCTAGATGATTCCCGATTATCTCCACTCTAGTCTCGAATATTCCACCAGTAAGGTTTGCCGAGTAAGCATATGTTAGAATCTACAAGAATTTTCCTGTAAACTGTGGTTAGAAGTCAAAGAAGTTCTCTTTTTGCATCATATTTTAATTGAGTATGCAGCGATCTAGCTATGACACAACATCGAAGAAAAGTGCTACTAGGATAACTTATTAAGGAAATTATGACCCCTCAGTCATTGAGGTTGTTGAGTGCATTGATTCATGTGATTATTGAAGTGAAACTAAGTACAGAATTTACAGTCACGTGTTTATCAACAACTTGACCCACTTGATAGCCCCAATTATTATAAATCGCAACACAACTCAATAAAAAAGAAGAACACTCATACCTCGTACTTCATTTGCAAGTACCACTGCAAAGTTATGGTAGCTTTTTCTTCACCCCAAGTCAACCCTCATTCGTGAATACCCACCCAGGGAACGTCTCAAGAACCCTGGGTTATCCAGACATGCCTCCACAATCCATTAACTTTTCTCCGCGCGATATGTGATCTTAGGCGTCTCCTTCCCAAGTCGGAGTATTTCAATTGTCAATGAGTCTACGGCACAAAAGAAGTTGGGCTAACCTTCGATACTGTAATCATATTTTGTTAAGATTTTTCTGACATTTCAGCACGACCATCGGAAAAGAGTTGAAAGGAGACGAGAAAGGCAGAGTGTGAATTCTCCGAGGTACCCACAAGTCTGCAGCAGCCAGCTGGCCGGCCTCTCCGAGCGCTTTGGAAGGGTCACTATGTCTTCGGATTTAGTTCTAATGTCGATATTGGAAGAGTCCCACTTCCAGTGTTTTTGCGATTTTTCCCGGCTACCATGCACCGGCATGTGTCTTATAAAAGGAGGTCACCTAGGTGTTCAATACTGACTCTGCTACTCGTATGTAAATGGAGTATGGTCTGTAAATACTGCGCTTGTGGATAATTGATTACAGATACTAGCAAGGATGCTTCGCAACTAGTATGTGCTAGAAGATAGAAATATTTACAGACAAAAAATAGTTGTGTGCTATCGATTCAATATGCTGCGGACCACACCTTAATCACTCTCCCATTAATCATAGCGCGGCTATTACCGTTTGTGCAGCAGCCTACAATAACATCCTTATGAAGCATCACAGCACAACGTTTATGCCGGTATGCATAAATAATTCTTTGCTATTACTAGATCACCACAATGTGACCTCCGTTTGGTTGGCTGGAGAGGGAAGTGATGGTATGTAAAAGTCATGCACTAAAGGCTCACCATTTCACTTAAGGCTACGAGGATACTCTTGAAATTAGTTCGAACTAGTGTTTAGTAGAAATGATATTTCATGATTATCCGCATGTGTTATCTTGATGCTATAGAAGCGCTTCACATCCTACATTCGGATAAAGCTTTATCCCATTTTCAGAATCCAAACAAGGAGAATAAGTCAACGCAATGCAAGAACCATTGACTTCATATAAAATTAGCCGAATAAATCATTACGATGGGGAGAATATGAAGGGATAATGGCTTCTCTTAGAATGTTCTCAAATGAAGACCTGCAGGTGTGTTAATGCTGGAAAGAAGCCATGAAGGAGGCATAGATACTTCCGAGCTTTAGAAAAAGGCGCCTATATTTCTTCATGTATTCATACACCCATTAGGACAGTAAACATAAACAATCAAACCTTATGAAGCCTGCGTGGAATCAGAATGCATTGCAGCAAATATGCTGCTTTAGGCCGGTTGGTCGCTTACTTAATCTCGCAGTTCTTTGTACGGCTGAATGCGACAGGCTACAATGTCATGTTTGCACAATTTTGTCACTACATTGTGAAGTATTAATCAAATTACTAAAATAAATATCGTCGAAAATTGGAGTTAAAACGGATGCATGGGAGTAAATTTAAAAAATATCATTCTTTTCATTGTACAGATAATCGAGAAAAATTGTAATATACACATCTCCTTCGAAATCTCACCATACAATTAAAGATTAATTGAAGGTACGTGTAGACTGTATTAAAAAATTGCCATCGGACACACAGCGTCATTTAACATCTATACAGTCTTCTACCCAGGAACAAAAGTTGTACTTTAATATAGATTTGTTAATAACCCAACGAAAAGATGTCGATATTACACCCACAGGAACCAGGCCCAAGAGAGCTCGCCCAGCAGATTCTTCAACACAGTGCTCCTCAATATAACTTTGCCTTCTCACCTTATCTCAACGAAGTATTCGGCTTCGGACTCTCGCCCAATCGCCCCGTATGTAAAGCGTATCTTCAAGGGCATTGCCCATCAGGATCTTCCTGTCCGGAGAAGCATAACAACAATTCAAACTTCAACAATTTGGTTTGCAAGTGAGGATTATTCCATTTAACTTTAGCCATGACTCTCATACTCTAATATTTGAAGGTAATAACTAATCAATTTACCACCTCTAGACATTGGCTGCGAGGCCTGTGTAAAAAGGGTGACAGTTGCGAGTTTCTCCATGAATACAATCTCCGGAAGATGCCAGAATGCAATTTTTTCACCCGGCATGGATATTGCTCAAACGGTGGTAAGTTTATCGTGTTTAACCTAAGTATGCGGTCCTGATATCTTGCAGAGGAATGTTTGTACTTGCATCTAGACCCTTCTTCGAAACTCCCACCTTGTCCACATTACGAGAAGGGATTTTGCGCTCTCGGGCCAGCTTGCTCACAGAGGCATATACGTAAGGTGTTGTGCGAATTTTATCTTGCTGGTTTCTGTCCAGAAGGCAAGGCTTGTAAGAATTCACATCCGCGTTGGCCAGAAAACTTGCCAAAAGCTACAGCTCGTGTAGAAAAATCGGCCGAGGAGCTGGAGGATGAACAGAGACTCCTTATAGAGAACGCTGAGCGTGAGCTTGCTTCTGATCGTGAAAAATACGGCGACCGAACTGGTGAGACAGGAAATAGAGGCAGAAGTCGCTGGCACAACACTGGTCATAACCGAAGCAATAGAACGGGAAATTCGAATAGGAGAGGCAGATATAACTAACATAAAACAAGCATTCTAGGAAACATACTCAACGCGAGCGTTTGAATGTGGACCCCTTACAACACGTCTCAATACCTATTGTATCCGAACAATTCATCTACGCTTCACATCCAAAAACCTTTAACTACTCTACGCTATTTGAAACTTCCTTGAGAAGGCTTAGGGTTCTCTGTGAAGCTTGGTTTCTGAAATAAGTACTTCCTGAAAATATTGAATACCTGTGGTGTATATCATATCAAAAATGTAAAAGGAATTAGGTAGTGATGGCAGAAATATTCTATATTCTGACGCACTTGTCGATGAACAGGCGCTAGGCTACTCTATCTCACCCCTTGTGGAAAACTCACATATAATTAGCAGCAGCTTCACTTTCGATAATTTCCGGTTAAACCAATCCTAGGAGATAGCCATGAGCTTCGAGGATGCGGATCATAAAGGCATATCACCAAAACATCAGCTACCCAAAAGGAAAAGGAGCTCGAATACGTTAGGGTTCAGATAGATAAAATTTCAAATATCAAGTCGATTTAATGGCCGGATCACATGGTCCCCAGAATAATGACAAATTGAGATTTGTAAAATAAACATAGCCGCACAGTATACTTAATGGGGCTCTCCATCCGAATAATCACTGAAGGTCAATGTCAAATAGATTAGCCCTCTGCTACGGGCAAATAGTAGTATTGGTGCGAAAATCAAAAATAACTTCGCACTTTTAACCAATGTATATATATTTATACTTGTTAAATGACAAATAAAGTTTCTATTTACAGGTCCATCCAGGCGTGAGGCCATATTATTCGGGGAAAAAACCAAAGTAAAATCAATCTTATTACCACTAGTGTACACCCCCTGTCTATAAACAAGTCAATCACCTACTCTCTTCTTTTGGATATCTTCCCTCTTTCTACTACCTCTATCGGAAACAAATGGTCTCAATTTAACTTCAGAGTCTCAGCGAGACCCGGTCCTGTGATCAATTTGATTTGTAACCTAAATTTATTCAAGACGGTTACAAGCAATAAGCATACGAACTGTGGTCCGGTATCCACGGGGGCTGACCAATATCTTAATGTAGTTGATGGTATTGTGATCAAGGAAAATACTAGTCGGAAGCAATGAATGATCAGGAAGTTGAAGGGGCATGTTTAACCGTTTGTAAGTTTACACTACAGGTATACTTTACTGTGAGGCCGGGAACTTGGACAGAGGCAAGCTTTGCATTAGGCCCGGTAACTTTGGATTGAAGTATCATCAGAGCCGTAGATTCATGCTATTTTTGTTTATCGTATAGGTTAAAACCGACTGCTACCAGGGCATCACCCAAGTTGCCGCCGTACAACCGCTCTTTCTAATTACTCACCGTAAGTGCCTTTTATTGACCCGAATTTGAGGTGCCGCTTTTATGTCTAAGAACGGATTATGCATATCATTTCGAAGTCGCTCTAGTCACCAAGATGTGGGATGCTCTCCTCTACGTATTGTCCTTGACTAAGTCCCACCTTGTCGGTCACCGCTTCTACATTATTTCCAGTGATCTCTGTGGTATTCAGCTCAGCTATGTTGTATCGTATATCTTGGTAATTAGCATCAGATTTGATTTGCGTTTGCAGCTAGGTAGCCATGACGCAATACCAGAGAAGTATATACTAGGTGGTTTAATATAAAAGAAGGGCACTTTTGTGTTGGGAATCTAGACTCAGTATGTACGGAAGTTCAGATTTCTAGGTATGAACATCAATTGAATTGATTCGATTGCATATGATCAAGCTCAGCTAGGCTTACGCGGTGTCCTCTACAAGCCTGGGAGTGAAATATTATCCCAGAGCCAAATTCAGTCAAATTACGCAATACCGAACAAGTTGGCCCACGACGCAATGATTCAAAATACTCCACCATCTCAATCTTTCACTCCCAACGAAACCGATTCCTACCTAAGCCTCATCAATTCTACAAGTGCGACCCAGTATATCTTCATTCCAATGATCACACCTCTTGTCGACTTTCTCTGGCCTCAGCTGGTCGTCAGATACACGCCTACGCCGATATTTTCACCCAACGGAGGAAGCAAAGCGTGGCGCACAAATCTGGGAGACTTTTTTTGGGATGGACGTGAGAGGAATCAGGACAAGTTGATAAGATGATGCAAAGGATGGATACCATTTCGACGGGCGTGAGATTCTGAATTTCGGCAAGCAGTTTTACGAATTGAGCTTTGTGCGCGCCAAGACTTCGCTTGCGAGAGTGCAGCTGGCACTATAAAATGAAGCCGACGATGGAAGGTGTTGTGTTACATCGTCATGGCCGGTCTGCCAAGTAGAATCTGGATAGCTTGGACACATCCTACTTGAGACAGTTGATCGCTGGTTCAAATCCGGCAAAACAAAACCACGTTTCTCGCGGCGCTAGTGTACATGGACGACAAAGGCATGCTTGGATAACCAAAGGTTTTGAAACGACCCTTTGGTGGGTACTTACGGAGGAGGGTCGACTGTTTATCTAAGCAAGCATACCTCACCGTGGTATTTGCGAATGGCATCCAGAGCATGAGTGTCTCTAACGTCAAAATAGTCATACTACATGTATACATAGTACCGGTCATGTGTCATAGCTCTATAGCTGAATACACATTAAATGATTTAAAAAAAAAGCTCAGCTAGGCGACATGAGGTTCAGTGGTATCTGAAATGCAGTGGCTAGGAAATGCTACCTTGCGATAATTGAGTAGCTGGTTGTCGCTAGATTATTGGGAGTTCAGGATCATTAAAGCCTTGAGAATCTATATTCAATGATAGACTCATCTGTATATATTATACTACGATGACGGAATATTATATGTTTTTAATTCATATTGAGAAGAGAGTTCGATATCCTATACAACTATCAGTGAACTCTTGTCCGAAATAGTACACTTGTTCTTCGAGCTACTTCCTAGAAATCTTCGACAATATCTAACATTTTGCCCTGGATTTCATTTGCCAGTACCACTGCGAGAATATGGTAGCTTTTTCTTCACCCCAAGTCAACCCTCATCCGTGAATACCCACCCAGGGGAACGTCTCAAAAACCCTGAGTTATCCAGACATGCCTCCATCATCTTTCAACTTTTCTCCGCGCGAAATATGGTCTGAGATACCTCCTTCCCAAGTGGAGTAGGTGCCCAGGCTTCTCGAACCATACCAGAGAACTCAAGCAGCAGGCGGACCACGGCGTCTTCCATCGTTGACTTGTGTTTATAGTATCAGCTGCACTATCGTAATCGAGGAATTAGCGCGTACCACACCCATCATATAAATATCCTTGCCAAAATTCGAAATCTCACCCTCGTCGAGATGGTATTCATCCATTGCATCATCCTGTAAACTTGTCCTGATCTCTCTCACGTCCATCCTAAAAAACTGTCTTCCAGATTTGTGCATCACACTTTGCTTCCTCCGTCGGGTATAATTATGGGCGTAAGCGTGTGTCTGGAAGCTAGTTAATACAAGAGGATGAGTCGACGAGAGGTGAAATCACTGAAATGATAATGTACCAGGTCATGCCAGCAAGCTTGCTGAGGATATGGTAGGAACGATCTCGTTGGAAGTGGAAGCTTGATTTAGCGGCGTCTTTTATCATTTCGTTGTGGGCCAACTTCTTTGGTATTGCGAAATTGGTCTGAAGTTGGCTCCGAGAGAATATTTCACTCCCAGGTTCGTAGAGGACAACGTAAACTGGTGGTAAGTCTTTGTAGCTTACCCTCGTTGTAGCACCAGACCTTGCTCTTCTTGCCAATTTATCGTGGGAATATTTGGCCATTACATTAGGCGATATCTCCAACATAACCTCTATGCAAGGCGCTGGATTTTTCACGCGTGGAATGCTACTGTGAACCTCTCGCGGGTGTGGGGAAGTATGGAGCCGGCCTGGAAATAATTGGAGCGTCTCTGGTTCCATGTCCTTGAAAATCGTCGTTGCCAAGTGGTGCTAATGGCAACCTCTTCTAATATTTTTAAATAATTTTCGATATTATCATGCAACACTAGTTTTCTACAAAATCCTCCATCGTCATCTTACTGGTCCACAACCAACACCAGTCCTGTACGTCCGGCCATCTCCAAGTCATCTGATGGAAATACGTCGAGGTCCGGGCGATGGGAGACAGCTAGTACTCTAGCCTTTTCATCTACGACGCGCAAATGCAGGATCACCGCGCTAATCGTGCCTTTTGCACAACCCGCTACATCTCTCAAGCGTATTTCGCTACCAACATAGCCTTCGTAGGGACGCATTTTCACACCTATCATTACGTCTATTTTGGTTGTTGAGGCTCGAGATGGTCTATACTCGGCAACTGAGGCATGAGTCAAGGAGTGAGAATCAGCGCCTCAATAGCGAGGAAGATGAGTTTGGAAATAGATAGTAATTTCCGATAATGCCTTTGTAAGCTTCGCTTATACTGTAGCTCTGATTGATGTCATGATTGGACCTTGCCACACCTCATGCTACGTCGCGTAGGATTATATGGTGGTACTGAGGGTAGCTGATTCTCCCATTATTTACTTCACGAGATTCGCGGCCGGACTCATGACTTCACCAGCTCTCCATCCTCCCTTTTCCATTCAACCCAACAACTCCGAGGCTTCCCGCCTGATTAACCTTCTATTGGTATTATGTGATCCTTAGACGTAGTTATCCCCCGCTTTTAATACCCTATTTACCACCAGGACTCCCTCGACATACGGCTATCTTGAAATTACTCATTTTACGCCGCACCAGACTCACTCACTGAAAATTTACGGGCTGTGCAGCAGATATGCATCTAATGAGAAGGTGACGAGCGACGCAATGTTTCTGCAGTTAATGCCCGTTTTTAGTCTGATCCAGATATAAATTATAATTCGACCTTACCAATATGCCAAGGACACCTATATTTCAAGTATAGTATACCTTTCTAAGCCTTTTTTACGTCCCTTGTGCAATGGTACCATCCCCCACGTACGTGTCAGTTTGATCAAATACTCAAAGGATCCTTTAGCTGGCCATTTGTAATTTCTTTGTTGGTGAGTAGCAGTCGAAAAAACTAGCAAGTTTCCTCTTTTGCGGCCCTCTCTTCAAATTAGCATCAGTACAAGCTCTCAAGACTTAACTTTATGCTTGGAAATGTTAGGATAATCCATGGAGTTGAGCACAATAGCCTCGAGCATACCTCCAAATATAATTTCCGACTTCAAGAGTATACTTCCTACCTTTGTGCCACAGGAAAAGTTGAAAGTCTTGTTTAGCTTTCCAAAAAAGTGTCGACAGAGAGTTATTACTATTAAGTAACCAAGACCAATTTGTTTGTGCTATCTAAGATATTTGAAAGTGTTGAAGCTTTGTCGTGGAGTGATAGATATGAGAGTGAGGTTTATGGTTCACGATGTATGAGATAACTGAGGTGCGGATGTATAAGTTCCTTACTATTGTTGTTGTACTAGCTAGGGTTGTGTTGTCTATATACAAAAAGGATTTCTCCATCTACAAGTGGGCCAGATCGTTTAGATCTCGCTAGCGGCTTTCGCCATCCTCTTCCTTCTCCCCCGCATAGCATCATGTGCTATACAACTACTGCTCACCATGAATTCCGAGGATGAAGAGCGTTAGATTACAACAGAAAGTGCTTTTGACTCATCGCAATCATGAGATATGTTAGCTCCATAGATTTTACTTCGAGGACTGGAGCCCCACAGGGTACATTGCTAATGAATATTGATTCAAAACCATCCAATTATCCTCATCTTAGCTAATGAACGTGCATCAACATCGGATCATCCGGTTGCGTGATTATCTCCGTATTATAAGCAGTCTCAGAACTTAGATGGCGATTCCTAGGCTGAGGGTTAATGTAGATACCGTCCAATCAGAAAACAAGTCGATGATGCAAGAGTTTAAAGTATTGAGTCAAGTAGGATTTGTTGCATCAAGGTTTGGATTAATGACTAGCCCCATCATACACACCCAAAATCCTTCTGCGATCTACTATATTGCTGGTTTGTGCTGAATCCAACCCAATAATAAGGCAGTGAGATTTAGAGCTACACAAATCGTCAACCTATTGCGTCATGATTGAATTTTTTTCCATCAGTAACAGAGCCAGCCCCCTACATGTTCCTCTTCAAGTTTTGCAGCAGGCGATGTGACGTCCGATTGAGCTGGTATTTTAAACTGTCTCAGCGAGTTCCATAGTTCTTGATTTTCTAATGGTTGAACATCATCAAATTCGATGGGATTCCTGAGGTACAACTTTTCGTCTCGTTTCGACGTCTTCGAAAAGCTAAAATTAGTCTTGTACTTTCCATTCTCATTTTTTTGACGGAATACTAGATAGCCGGGAAGTTGATGTAAATTTGGAGTAGATTCGTAATGATATGGATTATAAGAGGGCCCGAGACCAACTTTAGATTTATCAAATCTGTAAGGCAATCCTGGAATCTTATCATGAGATGGGTTGGAATTTATAAAAAGCTCCTTGAATACTTTCATAGTATCTACGAAATCGGCAATGCTGCGTTCGAGGTTGCGGACATATCCTGAAACCAACCTCTCACCTTCAGGATCCTCTCCAATGGCGGTAAGAGGCTTCCACCAGTAGTCACCGTTGGAGTTAGATCTAGTTCGCTCAAAACAATAAAGATACCCTCGAAACCAAGCCAACGCATATGTATTCGAACTCATTTTTGCTCTCAAGATTTTGGGGTATTCGAAGAGAAATTGATTCATACGCATTGAATCGTTAGCAATTATAGTGATATCATGGTTTATTGATTGGGGAGCAAAGCATGCAAATTCTCCAACCACTCCAATCTTTTTCTGGTAAGCTAAGCTGATAATATCCCTTTCGCGACAACCACTTTGTAAAGCTTGTTCTGTGGTAATATATTTCACGTACTGGGATTTACTATGACCAAAAGTACTGCGGCGGTAGTTAATAGCTTCGAGACATCGATCTTCTGCTTCAGTATCCGCTGATTTCATCATCTCGTGTGATGGATCTATTTGTTTTAATTTTTTAGTGACGATAACCATTATTTGATCGAGATTAATGACTATAGAACAGTACGCTACAACATATGTGCCATCTATCTTTATCTGACTTGGCGACATGTGTATACCGTGATAAGCTGGAGGCACCGGGAACTGTCTGTTGTTGGGAACTTGATAAACTCCATAGTAGGAAGAATACATATCTGCGCCAGTGATGGCCATACGGCCTGGAATGGTGGAGAGTATGGCGAATGCACACTCCATCATTTGCAGCTCTCTTGAATTTTACTGTCAACTTCCAATAGATCTACCACTAAACATTCAAGTTTTGCATATGATGTTGAAAATTCTAACGGCCGAGCGTTTAGCTTTTATTGGTTGCCGACGAGAAATACCCACTCTGGATTTGATTTTTGTAAATTAAAGAAATTTGGAACGATGAATGGCTTAATTTAAGGGTAAGCTACGCATCACACAGTATCTTAATCTGCAGATTTAGAATTCTTTTGCTTCCTTGAGGTAGGCTGAGGACTGCGCAGAAATGAATACAAAGAGTGGGATAGCTAGATCCAAATATATACTGGCCCCAGATATCTAAGCATGGTAAGCGGCACTTTTATGTGCACAAGTCAGCCAAAGAAGCCCCAATCGTAATCTTATTCTGCTTGCATGGAATATGGATTCAATTAATTTAATTTGGCGGCCTTTGGGCCAGCGCACGTGGCTAAGAGCTCTAATAGTAACCCAGGGGACAACCATTGCAATTAAAACACAGCACGAAGTCGCCATCACAACCTTCTCATGTTGACGGGAGAAATCTCCCAACCATATCTCCTTTTAGGACTCTGCCTGTACCAGGCTTAGCTTCGTAAGATCCAAGATGTTATTCCCTGCATCTTTTGGTATTTTGCTTCAGAGGAGGGAGTTCATGCGTTTAGTAGATAGGTGTATGTCACGGATTTTGCAGGAACGCGACTTGTTTGATTGATACAGCATCACGAGATTAGAGTCCAGAGCGCCTTGGATTCACACGGTTAATTTCTTCTGGGCTTCCTAAACCTTCCTTTAGTATGGTCTGTTAATCACAAGGTCCATCGAGAGGCCGAAATTCCTAGACAATCCAATCTTCGAGCCCGGGATGATAAGATCCTGGCTCTTGTTTCCTCTGTTGGGTTTGTAGACACCAACATGTCGTGTAGCTTATTCAGACTGGCTGGAAGGTGCCTGAAGACCTCACGTGCTGTATGCTAGTATGACACTAATCAAAATTAATGAGTGAATCGTGATTGATCCTTCATGGTTGTTACAATTATTCGGCCTCTGTAATCACTCCGCTCTACAAGATAGCATGCCTCCTTAGCGAGAGCAATTCCGCGCGCCGCCAAACGCTCAAGACAAAGTCAACACTCTAAACTATACATGAAGAAGTTATTCTTGCATCTGCTGCTTAGATATCAATTTCCTGCTGAATCGATTACCATTCACTCAGAAGATGAGCTCATGGACCCAGGACCAGAAAACGAACACCTCACTGTCTCGCTGCCAGCACCCGAGCTAGCAGACAAGACCCTAAAGCCACCAGCCCCAAGAGTATTGAAGAGGAACTCTCGTACAGGCCTCTCCAGCTCTATACAAGCTGTCAAGAAGAAAAATGGAAGGCTTGAAAGATAAACAAATGCAGAAATGCATATAAAACGCACAAAGGGCTTTTCCCTCAATATCTATAAGAACAAATTTTGGCATATTTTAAAATTAAATTTCTCAAATGTAATTAGAATCTTTAGTTAGATTCACAAAATCCTCCATAGTCTTAGAATCAGTAGGGGCTATAATAAAAATCTAATCTAATCAAATCTAATCTACACAGGCTGTCGCCAAAATTCAGCGCCAGGATATACGGGAACGAGACACACAATCCACCATAAAGTACAAAAAAGACTGCAACAACGGCTATAAATTGACCTTATTAGGGCTTGTACCTCAGGATCGACTAGCATAAAACTGCAATATCTACATCGGAAATTCAACTCATAGATTAAGGAACTGATTACACGGATTCGTAAGTAGTCTTACACGGCCTAGGATCCAGCAGAGACTTAAATTTATATCAATCATCCAACACCGGTAAAACCCATGCCCGACTCAAGGGTCATGGTACGCCTTACGACGCGAAGATTACTTCCTCATCGGCACAAAGTTGAGAAGTTTTCTGGGCCGTCCAGAGCTAACCAAGGACAATCGTTTGGTCTCATCTGGCACTGCTCTAGTGGCTTTCTCTCTCTCGAAGAAGCCCCGGATATTCTCCAGGCAGCTGTAGCTCTTCAGCTCCTGACTGGAATTGTACTAGTAAAAGGTCAAGAAAGGCGTGCAAATTTCTTCTAGGCCCAGCCCCGAAATACGTGTACAACTCATTAGGATTCCATGAGACTCAATCTGTTGCCGGAATCTGGTAGGAGCTAGCAGCCGCCAAAATCGACACGGATTTAATGCTCTTCATTTCCTGGAAGTGCCGCCGGCGGGAATCCCCGGACTCTGATGGAATCCTTTGACTAGTAACCTCTAAGCTGGCCTCAGAAAACTTTCGACTGGTATCTGCCTCTTTGCGCAGTCCGACCCTGCTATCAGGCCTTCCACTATATCAACGCCTGCACACGCTGAGTACGATGTAATCACTACGCGTCAGACCCTAACAATTGACTGTACATGACACCACTAAAATACCTGAATTGCCCCAGTCCTCAGCAGGCCTTCTCTCCTGGCCATCCGGCCCGAAACTTTGGCGCTAATGGGGCTTTTGATCAGCTATACAACGAGAGACTGCGGCTGATACGCCAAGAAGGACAAAATGTCTGGTTTATTGCGTGGTCAGATCACGGAAAAATGCGTTGAGAAGATAAGTGAGAATCTATTGAAATGTATAACCTACTACTTAGTTCGTGGACTTATTGGTAAAGGGAAGCTTATGCAATAATGAAGGATAAAAGGATGTCAATTCGACTACTTTTCTAAACACAGGTACCAGACTCCTTTTAACCCCAATAGATAGCCCGTGCGGGATCTCCTATTAACAGCTGTAAACAACGCTAGCACAGGGTATACGCAATCTCCATTCGCCAAACACCAGTCGGTCGGGACTACTAATTATCGAGCCTAGTAGGATCGACAAAGTGTATCCCAACACAGAAATCATAGAAAACTCAACAACCAAACCCTTCATCAATTACTTCCATTAAGCATCACCTGACTCATCTCTGAACTCCATAATTTCAACAGAATCACTTGATGTAATCATATATCAGCGTGCTTCAAATATTAGGAGTTTCCTGTTAGTGTCAGAGGGAAAACAAACAACTTCCATCAGACTAAGCGAACTCTATGGGCATTCAGTGATTAAAGGTTACAAGCGTACCCGGAGTCCATAGTCTACAGTAAGCCACTTCAAAACCCGTACGCACGATCGCACATTACCCTAAATCCTTCCCCACCTCTTGTAACTCCCTGATAGAAAGTCTATCCTCATAATCTAGTTGTAGTTATCTCTCCCGTACAAGAATATTATGATTCATTGGTATTATTTGCGTGCACTGATCGTTTGACTTGACGGTTCACAACAAGGCCCTGCTCTCGGCTTTGGAGAATAGGTCGGGCTGACGAAGAATTTTACGACGAGATTCAACCAACCAACTGAGGTTTCTTGTGCACGTTAGTAAGAATAAAATGATAAATGTTGACTGTGAAATTCACGGATGTCTCGTGGCTCCGACTACGACAATCTATATGTGTGTAGAGCTTGAGACTAGGTGTAAACTTGTATTTCTATTAACGTTCTAACTCCTCCTTAAATACATGAATTCCTCTATACTCCAGATCATGTAACGATCAATGATACATGACAAGTAAACTATCAGAATACAGTAGGAGAGGAGTGAGGTGCTTAGCGGCCCGAATTGTGACCAAAGAATGCGAGGAGTGCATTCTTGATGGAACCTCAAACTCGGCGGCTCGCCTAGGATCGGGACTTCGGCGTCTCGCCTAGACTCGGAGCTCAGCGGCTCGCTTGCCGTGAGACTTGGCGTTACGCTCGGACTTGGAATTCAGGATCCTCACAACTACATCTATTTTCAAAAGAACAATCCTTTGGACAAGAATGTGTATTTACTTTGGTGTAAAGCGCGACCGATTTTGGAATATCCTACAAATCACGCTTTCTGGTTCCAGGGAGATCAAGCAGGCTCTAGTGATACATGTAACTTTCACGCTTAAGGGAAGTTTGTGTGCCAGCTTGTGAGCCGATGAATCCTGAGGCATAAAACGGCCATTTAATGCGTTGGTGTGTATTCTATCACTCTGAGGCTAGACTGAAATGGATACAAAACCACCACTAACGTTGTGAGAGAGAGAGTGTCGAGAGTACCTGTTAGACACGGAGGGTCAAATGAAAAATGTAAACTTGTATTGATGAAATCTCTGCTCCTTATCTCCTCTCCAGCATCAATGCTATATAGCCATCTGAAACTATTTCGAGGAGAGATTATCTTCTCCTCGTTTCCCAAAATTACATATGAAATATATTACATGTGTTGAAGATCAAAAGATCTCAAGTTGGAGCTTTGAACATCCTGATCACCATGTCCCTGGTGAGATATCAAAGCTCGAGTAAGTTAATCCGAGATGTATCATCCCAATATTCAATGATTCTCATTACTTTATTCAGTAGGTTCCAAGCTGTCAGATGTTTGACAGTACCTCGAGCTTTACTCATGTATGTAAAGGAACCTCCAGTTACTTTCTTTGACACTATTAGCGCAGGCTTGATTTAGATACTTCTCGAAGTATATGAGAAGCACGGAAGGATGGCAGGCAGTTTGCTTCTCCACGGATGAACTGTAGCTTTACATACAGTCATAAAAATGCTTACTTGCTTTGTGTATTCAATCTGTGACAATCTGCTACCACGAAGATAGACAAAGAAAAGCGGGCAGCTGTTTGCTTGTATATTGACGTGCTAGGCAATCGGCACCCTTCGCACTTCTATGGGAGCTTGAGCCCGAGTGGGGGTCGGGCTGGATCAGATGAATAAATGAATGAAATTTCATTCGGGACGGACACAAACCCTGCACTTAGAGAGCATGACACGGAGAAGACTATTTTACCCGACGACTATATACAACGATAACTCAGTTTGACATTTGGACTACTCATGTAGTGGGTGCATTCGCTGATAACACTCGAGACCTTGGTGCTAGGGACTATCACCCTTCCCTCAACCGTTAATATCCACCAAAGGAAAAACAGGAAAAACCTCTGGCTACCCTAACATGCCTTTGCCATCTTGTGTATAGCCGCCGCGCGAGATACGGCCTCACAGTCCTCTCTTTCTCGAGTGAAGTAGGTTTCCAGGCTACCCAGACTTCAATTCGGGGAGATGACGACCAGGAGGCGGACCAAAACACCTTCCATTGTTTCCAGTTTTTAGAGTGTCGGTAGCACTATCCTAGATCGTTGCATCTGCGCCCACAGACACCCTTAAGTCGAAAATATTGGAAAAATGTGAGTCCAAGTTTGCCCCTTTGTGATCTCTTCACTCGTTCGTCCCACGTCCCAGCTGCCTGTCCTAACTCAAGATGTGAAGCCCCATGAGGGCAACGGTCCCCTATGGACCAAGACCCGAGCATTATAGTTTATGACTTAATTTCTTCCTCGCGGGTATACATAGCATCGTAAATTTTTAGTGGGAGATGGCCGGTTTTATTTAGAGGCAAATGCCCGATTGCAATTGGAGTAACGCCATTATCGGTATTTGCGGCGAGGTGGTTTAGTAAGATTGAGGTGGAGTACTAGCGTGAGAATGGTAGGTCAACCATTTGTCGAGAAGTCGTCGAATTTAGATATGCTTGAGGTTGCTTTCGACTTTAATTTGGATGCGATTCTACTTGACTATCTCAGATATGCAGAGCATACCGAGCGATTATACCGGCACCACTGGAAGGTGAAGAATTCGTCTTTGCCGGCTCCGGGTGGATCAGGCTGGCTTTCATGTTACTATACGAGCCTCGACCCACCTGAGTGACCGAATCACTGCAGACTTTAGACATTCAGGTCCAGCCGTCCAGAGAAACCGATTTTGACGCGCCAGAACGCGAATCTCTCCTCAGACTCGGCGACTACGCTTTCGAGGCCTCGAAAACCTCTCAATCTCTAGTTTTGCCTTTCCGTCCAGTCCCAGTCACGCCTCGTCCTAGTATCTCCTCATCTCCTCCTGGGGCCGTTCTCTTCATTGAAGACCTCATGCAGTCGCAAACCGAGGCCTCCTCCGTTTTTCCTCCTCCACTTTAGCTGTCCTTAACCCTTGTGTCAACTTTGCCCTCCCAGAAACTTTTTTAATTTCTACCCCTCCGGCCTTGCACCGTCACTGCTGTACCCCTGACCATGGAGGCTGAATATGGGTCGAGGAGCTTCAAACCGAGGCACCGATGCCTCAGCCTTTTTCGAATGCTCTAGCTGGTGTGTCGGTGGATTGTCGTACGTATTTCGTCGGTGGCGACTCGTCGCAGATCGAGTTGTTGGTGCCCTTGTCCGAAGTATTTACGAATTGAGGCCGGTACTTTGACCGTACCTTCACAGCGCACGAAAATTGCAAGTGAAGAAATTTCAACTTGAATGTCCGATGGCTATAACGACTTTTAGATTTTGGAATGCATCGGAAGGTGATGAGATAATTGTGGAGAGAATCGCGAGATGGATAAGATTAGATTCATATTAAAGACCTATCTGAGTTTAAGACTATGGAGGACTACTAGAATCTACTTGAAAGACACCACCTATATTTAGCACATTTTACCCCGACTACTTTGGATTTTATTCTTCTGGATAGTGAGGAAAGAAACAGTGGTTGGTAATGGAACAGAACAGGGTCGATCTATAAACAAAGAACCTATAAATTTCTGGGCCAAATTGTAAGAAGCTGTGGAAGATTATTGATTACAAGGTAATAGTTGGCCTTCATTTACGGAGCTGAAGAACACGGTGAGGGAACAATTAGTATTGGTAAAATTCAGACTGATTTATCTTTATTGCATGCCCCGAAAGTCCACCAAGGTCGGTCTATCTAGTAAAATTTACACTCAACCCGCATTTTATCCATGATAAACAAATAATATACTTCATGAAGAAAGATTATTTGAACCAAAATATGTGATTGAACCGGGGAGCATAATCCTTGAGAAGCACGTCGTTCAACCACATGGTAGCCTTCTAGCAGATTACCCGTAGGCTCAGCATTTCAATGGTCTTAGATTATTCTGAAGTCTTAGACCGCTAAGATTGAAATATCATGATCATCGAAAGCCTGACGCTGTGGATGCCTGGTCAAACTAGAATTTTCAGACGTGAAAACCGATATAAAAAAATCAGCTTGCTGGAAATCTATAGTAGAGGCGGAAATTCACGTAGGACGTGATTGGGACATTCATATCCGCGAGGATTATTACTCAAGTATTGTTGATGATATTGTTCGGCGTCCCACCATTCGCCAGCCGGGGCAATTTCTGTAGTCACTTTGTTCTTCCACCATTGCTCGTTGACTTTCTGGGTGACTTGACGAGCCACCTGCTCCTGCTCTTGGTTGTGATAGAAGATGGCCGAACGATATTGCGAGCCCTGGTCCGCACCTTGACGATGAAAGGTCGTCGGATCGTGCATTTGGTAAAAAAACTCGACAAGTTGTCGGTAAGAGACTTTCTGCGGATCAAAGGTTACCTGAAGCGCCTCAGAATCTAAAATCTGATACTCAGTCTAACGTAGTACAAAGGCGCGGCCAGACGCTGGGAGTACTTACGACCCGTTTGACCAGAGCAGACAGCACGGTATAAGGGGTTGGAAGATAGGCCACCAGTGTAGCCCACGCGTGCTTCGACCAAGCCGCGCGATGTGAAGCTTTCCCGAAACATTTTCTCGACGCCCCAGAAGCAGCCGGCAGCAAAAGTTGCCTTTTGAGCCGCTGTTGTAGAGTTATCTGTGCAGGCTGGTTTCCCGCTCATGGTTACTAAGCTTCGGAGAAAAGGTCGGGAGTATAGGGATCTGGCAAAGCTCATTTAGGAGGAGAGTCTGGCTCGAGGGAGGTTTACTGAACCTACTCGCCCCTGATCCGTTTCAATTAGTAAGGAAGCGCACTGATTGTCCCGAAATAGGCTCGAAGTGGCCAACTAGTTTGCTTAAATTATCTAATACAGTGCAGACTCGGTTTATCGATGCCCGCCTTGCAACAGTATTTACTTCTCGCACGTGTTACGTTTTACTAGTAAATTTAGCAAATTAAAAATATTCAATAGGTGGACTATTCTCAACACCTGTCAGTGGTGTCCCCTACGAACCTCCAGATCACACTGTAGAGTCTGCAGAGCCGACATTGAGTAACAAAGTCCTCACTTTGCCGAGGATTCCCAATCGCTTGCGCGGTCTGTATCGTCTTCATCTCTCAACACATTCCCCTATCACCACTATCATGAAGCTAACCACGATCAGATCAGATAGTAGGGTCGGAGTCCTACTCGTCACCAACCCTTTATCATGGAGGAAAAGCCATCCAATGAGTTTCCGGAGCGTACCCAGCACCCGATATGGAGATGGTGGATTGGATCAAGTCGGCCTCGACAGTTACAAAGAAGGGAGACATAGATGAATATGCGCATCTCATGTGGTCCCGGTGTCTAGGCCTCGCCTGGCTGGGGCTGCAGGTTTTTTGAGACTTTTTCCCGCGCGCGCAGTTTCCATTGCTACCATTTTTTTGGGTAGAAGGTTCCGTGGAAAAGGTGGCCGAATTGCATGGGTAAACACTCAGCTGAATGGCTATTCATCAAGGGGAATATATTAATGATCTTTCAAGTAACAAAAGAGGATAGGAGCACTGTACAAGGTGTGACCTGGGTCAGAGAGGAGCCCAATTTGCAAGATAGTCATAGACTCAAGTAGTGCAATAAAAACACACGCAGGCGCACAATATTCAATATGTCGTTGCGGATATCGCCCTCTCATGGCTGCATCGAATAACCGTCACATGATGTCACCACTGTCATTGGTTGAAGCCCGGTATTTAAGGCGTAAACTTCTACTCCCTAGGTTAATATTCATTCCTTCATTGTTCTAGTTTAACGTCTTATTTAGCTTCTGTATACAGATCCATGAAGACGGTAAGCCGCATTGGTGTGGGAAAAAGCTTTCAACAAACAACACTCGAGGTCCTGCCACTCTGAATCGACCCGGCTTAATGCTGAGGACGTTCCTTTCAAACCATAATTTTGTAAACTTTCCTCAGAATTCGTTAACTCCCCCTTCAATCAGAAAAAAGTTATGAGAAATTAAAGAGAGAAGGCATCTCCTCACTCGGCGTTGGTCTTATTTCTTCCCTTCTTATATCTGCCGTTCGTTCCAAAAGTCCCCACCTTGCCCTTTGAACACTAGCGTTATATAACGCGAAGTTTTGACACGACTTTTTCTACCACGACATATGCGCCTTGCCATAGTTGCAGCAAAGCACCGATTTCTTCGAGCAGTCTCTGGTCTGAAAAGTGCCGGCATACTCACCACATATCCTTGCCCTAATGCACGAGGCTTGAGTATGCCCCCATTGACTGCAGTTAAAGCACTGCTTGACTTGTGCCCGGGGAGACCAGGGCTGGGTCGTGTACAGCATTGAATTGAGTACATTGCCGTTTCATACCACCTCGCGTTGAAGAGCTTCTGTCGGCAGACTAGCGATCACTGACCCTCGAGTATGGCCATTTTTCTTCATCCATTGGTGCACTTTTCTGTCGTAAAGCCACCTTCACCTGTTTATTTGGATCCCAGGAATCCGAACGTTTGTCTCCGTGGTGATTTGATGAATAATTCTGCCGTTGTTGGCATTCTTTCCTCCTTGTATCATTGTCCCCAACGGGACTCCAAAAAGATCAACAGGATAATCCTGCTTCAAGACGCTGAACTCCTTTGGCTGAGCCATGTTCAGGGCAGCGTCTCGCTGTGAGACCGACTGCACGGACACCTCAGTGTCGTTACTCCGCAACTGCCTTGCGGCGTATGCTCCCTCAATGTATATTTTTGCCTAGTTAAGCAGCTCTGCCAGCTGAATTTTGTCTGCTCCTTCAACTCTTATTCGAACCACCGCTTTAGTTGCGGGAGGTGCAACGATCGATGCGTAAGTTGGTCGTCCTCCCATAGTTTGTGTCGATTGAGGAGCAGTCTTGCGCACTGGCTCCTCGAGACTCTTCTTTATTGCCTTCTCTAAGGCTAGCATCCTTTACTCCATTGGCTGTGCCGACATCTTCAATTGTAACATCTGAGTGTGGGCTTTGAAAGCATCAAGAGCCTCATCTATCTCCACCATCGGTGCCGCAGATCTGTAAGTACCTGAGTTCACCAGTCTGCCTCGAACCTTACTTAAATATATCCCCACTGTCTTTGAGAAATCCATATTGACGCCTGTAGATGTCGTGAGAAGATCTACAGCCGTTATAGCGGCTGTTCCGCTATCCATTGTTGGTTTCTGTGGTGCCGTGAAAATATTTTCAGCCGCGAAATCCACCTTTCTGGCTCCCCCACTCGCCATGCCGAAGCGCAACGAAAAAAATTCGAGGAATTAGGTAAGAGGGATTGATTAAGATGAATACAATAATAATTACGATGAAATAACGTTCGTGGAACTTTGTGCCACTTTTCGTGAAAAATTATTATTATTATTATTATTATTTATATTTGAATTTGATTTCATTGTCCTGATTTGGCGCCTTAAGGCCAATGCAGGTGACTATAAACCTAAACTATTTATTTACATGAGGAGGAAACCTTGCGGTAAAAACCCCCTCCCCCTATCAATTTTATATATCTGTAGTCCTTCGTTACCTACAGTAAGTGCAAATGGCCTTCAGTCAGAGACAAATCTAGGTGAAATTAAAGTTTCCATCGCCATCCTTTCCCTGCCCTCGCGTGCTGAAAAGAGTTGACTGTGGTCTTGAACTTGACCCCGATGGCGCAAATAGGTATTCTTGTGTGACTGGGGCCAGGGGCTGTTTGCGCGGGCGTCCTGGCCCTCTCTTGCCGCCCTCAGGCTTTTGATGGGACACGAGTGTGAACCCTTGGTCGATTGCTGTATTAGCCGTAGATTGATTTAATGCCGTTGGTCTTGATTCCTCCCTTCTTATATCTGCCGTTCGTTCCAAAAGTTCCCACCTTGCCCTTTGAACACTAGCCTTGTATAACGCGAAGTTTTGACACGACTTTTTCTGCCACGACATATGTGCCTTGCCACAGTTGCAGCAAAGCACCGATTTCTTCGGGCAGTCTCTGGTCTGGTGAGTGCCCGCACACTCACCACATCTCCTTGCCATGTTGCAGGAAGCTTGAGTATGCCCCCATTTGCTGCAGTTGAAGCACTACTTGACTTGTGCTCGGGGTGACCAGAGCTGGGCCGTGTAAAGCATTGAATCCATCACAATGCCGTTTCGAACTACTTCGCGTTGAAAAGCCTCGGTCGGAAGGCTTGCGATAACTGACCCTCGAGAATGGCCGTTTGTCTTCATCCATTGGTGCTCTTTGCCGTCGTTAAGCCACCTCACCCTGTTGATTTGGATTCCAGGAATCCGGGCTTTTGTCTCCGTTGTCATTTTTAAAATTGCCGCGCTGTTGTTGGCGTTTTTTCCTCCGTGTATAATTGTCCCAAGTGGGACTCCCAAAATTTCGACAGGGTAATCCTGCTTTATGACGCAGAACTCCTTTGGTTGTGCCATTCTCAAGGCAGCGTCTCGCTGGGAGACCGACTGCACAAACACCTCAGTGTCATTACTCCTCAGCTACCTTACGGCATATGCCCCCTCGATATGTTTTTTCGCCTTGTTAAGCAGCTCAATGGCTGCATCTTTTCTGATCCTTCCATTCGTATTCTTACTGCCGCTTTGGTGGCTGGCGGCGCGACGATCGAGGCGTACGTGGGTCGTCCTCCCATTAATTGCGCTGGTTGTGGTGCAGTCTTGCAGACCGGCTTATCGAGACTCTCCTTTACGACCTTCTCTAAGGCCAACATTCGATCTTCCATTGGGTTAGCCGTCAGCTTTGATCGGAACATCTTGGCGTGGGCTACGAAGGCATCAAGTACCTCATCTATTTCGACCATTGGTGTCGCAGATTTATCAGTTCCTGCAATCGCCAGTCTATCTCTGACCCTGTTTAAGTAATAAGCCACTGTTTTTAGTTTCTCCAATTTCATGCCAGTAGAAGTCGCGAGAGATTCTACAAGCATTATAGCGGCTGTTCCGCTATCCATTGTTGGTTTCTGTGGTGCCGTGAAATTTTTCCAGCCGTGAAATCCACCTTTCCTGTCCCCCAACTCGCCATGCCGAAGCGCAACGAAAAAATTCGAGGAATCAGGTAAGAGTGATTGATTGAGATGAATGCAATAATTAAAACAATGATATAACGTTCGTGGAACGTGGTGCCGCTTTTGACCAAATGATGATGTTTCTTATTATTATTATTATTATTATTATTATTATTATTATTATTATTATTATTATTATTATTATTATTATTATTATTATTATTATTATTATTATTATTATTATTATTATTATTATTATTATTATTATTATTATTATTATTATTATTATTATTATTATTATTATTATTATTATTATTATTATTATTATTATTATTATTATTATTATTATTATTATTATTATTATTATTATTATTATTATTATTATTATTATTATTATTATTATTATTATTATTATTATTATTATTATTATTATTATTATTATTATTATTATTATTATTATTATTATTATTATTATTATTATTATTATTATTATTATTATTATTATTATTATTATTATTATTATTATTATTATTATTATTATTATTATTATTATTATTATTATTATTATTATTATTATTTTATTTGAATTTGATTTCATTGTCCTGATTTGGCGCCTTAAGGCCCATGCAGGTGACTATAAACCTAAACTATATATTTACATGAGGGGGAAACCATTACGATAAAAACCCCCTCCCCCTTTAAAATTTTTTACCTGTAGTTCTTCGT